AACAAAAACAGGGAGAAAGAAAGATTTCATAGGGCCCTAAAAATGCCATATACTTTTAATAAAGTGTTGTTAAACTGTGTTTTTATAAACCTTTAATAAACTGTTTTAATTAACTTTTAATAAAGTGTTGTTAAACGTTTCATGATTCAAATTAATTAGACATGCAATTTTTTGATTACTAAAATTAAGCATTAAAATGGAATTCAGAAAAATGTAAACAGGAAAAACAAACAAACTAACAAAAACAAAACTCATTTCATATGAATTGGTGCTAGAACAGAATGAGATCAGCATTTTGAAACACCGCTGGGTGTCATTAAGAGTTAGGACCCCTGCACAGCACCGTTCAGATTGGACCCCAGGGGGCAGCCGCTCGTACCAGCTAATCAAAAGCTGTTATTGCAATATCTTGTTGTAGTTAGCTGTGGTAGCTTGATGTAACATGTAGGCCAGTTTACTTTGACCACTGAAGGCTAAGTGACAATTTATACCGTTACAAAAGATTTCAAATAAATGAGCTTTCTAGTCATCAAAGAATCCAAAACTAATAATTACAATAAGAATAAATGATATTTGAGCACTAAATCAGCATATTAGAATGATGAATCATGTGACACTGAGGACTGATGGCTGCTAAAAATCCAGCTTTGTCATTACAGAAAAATAAAATACATTACAAAAGAAACCAATTGTAATAATAATTTAAATTGTAATAATATTTCACAATAATACAGTTTTTGCTGTATTTTGATCAAATAAATTTTTTTTAAAATAGGAAAAAAATCGTAATGACCCCAAACTTTGTAACGGTAGTGCACGACTGATTTAGGATTTCTGATCAGGCACAGATAAGAGTACTTTTCAGTCAAATTGCTTTGGGGTCCTATACTCAACAGGTGAACTTAACATTTCATGACACCAAACATTATTTTTTGAATCTATTCTTATTGCATATGTTTGCAGTAGACTTCATTACAACTTAAACTGGCATTTAATTAATCTTATTAAATAAAACACTGAAAAGGTTGCATTATCTAAAACATTAGCCTAAAACAATGCCTAAATATTTGGCTGTAGGTCAAAAAAAATTAAAATAATAATAAATAAAATGCACAGGAACACGTATTAAGGGGGAAAGAATAGGGTCAATTTCATGTTAACATTCAACACAAGTTCACTATCCTTTGCAGAAGCAATGATTGAACTTCTAGTCAAGTTCTCCTGTGTTTCACAACATGCCTAGTTTCAAGTCAGCTGACTTTTATTCAATCCGGCCTAATCCTTATTCCACTGGCTTTTCCTTTTAAAAACAGCTTGCTGTTACATTCTGTGTATAAGACAAAAAAGCTCTTTATCATTACACATCGCTTTATTTCTTGTAGTTTCAATCTTCTTCAAAAAGCACAACCTACACTAAAATGGAACGATCTGCAGAATAAAGACATTGACTTGATTCAGCTCTTCACTGTGAGAAGACAAATAATAATTGCTTCTAAAAGCAGGTGCAGTTCTTCTCTAGCCACCCATTTTAATGCTGAACAAATCGATAAAGCTAAGGATATTCTAGGAGGAGGTGGTGGGGTGCAGAAATAGACTGGGCTGTGACATCTATTCATCGGCAAAACTATATTGAGTCATAAAGTGCCTTAAAGAGTTCGGGATTTGCTGTCTTGGTCATTTGACACAGCTCAATATCACGCCAATAACTAATTAGAGAAAATGAAGTCACTGTGCTGCCAATCACTCTCATGGGAGCCAATTATGAGATCCAGGGGAGGTAATGTGCCAGAGCCAATCAGAGCACACGCTGGCTTCGGTGCTTTTCTCTTTTGCTGTGCGTGCTGAGAATCACATCCAGCAAAACTATATTGAGTCATAAAGTGCCTTAAAGAGTTCGGGATTTGCTGTCTTGGTCATTTGACAGCTCAATATCACGCCAATAACTAATTAGAGAAAATGAAGTCACTGTGCTGCCAATCACTCTCATGGGAGCCAATTATGAGATCCAGGGGAGGTAATGTGCCAGAGCCAATCAGAGCACACGCTGGCTTCGGTGCTTTTCTCTTTTGCTGTGCGTGCTGAGAATCACATCCAGAGGTTTATGGAGGAACAGCACGAAATATTGTTCTAGAACTCATGGAAATCTTAAATTAAAGAGACAGTTCATCATTTATTCACCCTCATGTCATTTCAAACCAGTATGACTTCTATGGAACACAAAGGAACCCCACTGACTTTCATTTGTATTCAGCAGAAGAAAGAAATTCATACAGGTTTGGAACAAAATCAGAGTGAGTAAATGATAGATTTTAGGGGGTTAACTATTCACCCACCAAATGTTATTAATTTGTTATTAAAAACGAAACATGTAACACTTTACAAATAAAAATGAACAAATACATTAACCTTTGTTAATGTTAGCTAATACAGATGTTAATACAGTTCACAGTGTATTAACTAATGTTTACAGAAACAAGTTGATCGTTAAAAAATATTAATAAATTCTGAAATTAAAATTAACTAAGATTATTATATATGTATATATATATATATATATATATATATATATATATACACACACACACATTTTATTATATAATACAATCTAATTATAAAGTGTTACCATTAAATGTTATTAATTGAACAAAAATTGCCATCACTTGAGATATTCGCAATAAAAATCACCTCCTGTGAATAGAAATCATTTCTGAATCCATGAACGGCAATCCTTAAAAGGCTCACATTAATTAATGCACAGAGATATTATAAGCAGAATTAATTCAATTTAAAAGATGAATAAAAAAAGGACTTCCAACCTTGATGCCCAACATATGCACATGTCAATTCAGAATAGAAACTCGATACAAAAAGCTTGTGTTATCTAACATTTCAGAGACACACATATGCAAGCAAACGCGCGCACACACAAGCTCCATTCAGATAAACGCTGGCAGGCTGAAGCAAATAGCCATTGTTATGTAGCACACATGCTCCAAGTTCATCCGCCAGTCCAGCCTGCCCTCTCTGGATGGCAGATCCACTGGCATGCATTGCATACTTGGTCCAGCACTGCACCCATCCATGCCAACTCACTCGTCCAGAATCAAAAGTGCAGCTTTGGGCCACGTTCATCTGTTGCAATGCACTTTTACAGCACTGGTTGCTTAAATGTGAAACTGGAATTTAAAGCCCATGCATTATCAAATTAGGGGCTCTATCAGGGCCAAAACCTAACTTTTCAATTAAAGGGCAATATTTGGCCATTGGAATAGATTTCCGGGGCAATTTTTATCTTAGCATGGCAAATTTTTATAATTACCTTATTAAATGTATTCTGTGTTGTTTTTTTATGTCAAATACTTACATTTAGCCAATTACTTTAATCAATCAACAGACTGTAGATTTTTACCAATAAAATGTTATCAACAAAAGCCATCTTTACCCTGCAAAGGTGGAACAAATGCTGCATCTGACATGGCTATTATTTTGAATGTTGCTGAAAGGTGGTATGTACAACAACTGCATAATTTAAATAGCCTACATAACGTATGTAATAAATCAATAAGTAAATAAATAAAACAGAAGTTCACTATAACCATTAAAAAGTAGGGCTGCACTATCATGACAAAAAAATATTATTGTTGATTATTGCTCTTGATATAGTAATATCAAGTTTGGGGATATTGTTCCCCGTGGTTTGGGGAACAACATGTCATATTCCTGACAAAAAAAAGCTAAGAAATGTTTATGAATTAGTTTATTACTTTTTATGCATTAGAAAATCAAGACTTCACATTGCTTATTTTAGTAGCATGAAAAACAAAAACGTTTTTTTCAAACTGGGGATAAAGTGAGCAAAGAACACTATCACTGGTGAAGCGTTCCATGACTTAAGTCTATATGGAGACAGAATTGTTGCATCATTCCAAATAAATAGATTATGATCCACAAATAAATGTAAAGAGATTAACAAAAATTACAAATATAAACAAGTAGAATGAGATCTACAAATAAATCTTAGATTTTCACAAACATGAATTAAATTCACAAATAAATAAAATGAGATTTGCAAATAAAAAACATTCACAGCTATATATTTTATGTCACAAAGACAACTTTGCAAGGCATTTATTTGTAAATCGCGTCTTGTACATTTATTTATCGCTGCACGCATTTGTGGATCACTCTCTGTATATTTGTGAATGGCTTTCTGTGCATTTGTGGATCGCTGTGTGCATTTTGAAACATTTCTAGTGTCAAGACGCTGACAATCCACAAATGCGTGACTCCACCCACCGCCTACTCAAGCCAATCAGATAACAGCCACATTTCACTGACCAATCGTAGCATGTTCTCACTATAACCAATCACGTTTTGCTTTACAATCAGGGCGAGAGCAGATTCATTTTGCACCCCTGTAAGGAACTGCATTCTATGGACACTTCGTTCAAATTGAGCTGAAGTGCTGTTTGTGTGGTTAAAATTTTTTTTCCTTTTTCCAAAAGATTGTTGAGTGTAAGGCTTCTTTATATTTCCATCAGGATCAGTGAATAAGGATATACTCGGGATTATACACAATTTATGATCATTCACAGATTCTCCAGCGTCCAGTTGCAGTTACAGGCATAAGACATGGCACAATGGCTTATTCGGCGTGGTGTGGTGACAAATATAGGACATAATAACACGTATAATATCAAATATGGGCCCAAATGACCATCTCGGTAGCAGCCTCCGCATCACTGCAGTGTATACTGGGGATTTGTGAGTGGATGATGTAAAAACCGTGCATTTACTTTGGATGCTGTCAATTTACTTTTACAATCAAAACTAGTAAGTCTGATTCATATGAAATATTGTTTGTGTGATCAAGAGTTTTAAACAATCTCGTCTTACATTTATATTCAACATACCTGCCCCACATTTAAAAAAGAACCCACGTATATTTTTTCCTCCCCAAACAATGGCAACTTTGTAATACTTTTAATTAATATTTGAAAATATTATTTACAATGCTTTATACATCATTAGATCCACATAGCTGCTCATATAAATCATTTAAATGGCTTGACTTAAACTAGGAAACGCTGTTGAGTGACGGCAATTTAACCTATTACACAAACTCGTATGTTTATCATGAGGCGAAATATAGTTATTTATTAGTCAGTTACTTATTGATGCTTTTCTTTCCATCTTGAATAACACAACGCTTCCATAACGCATCTGTATCCAGTATAGCGTTGTTCCCATAGGCGTGATTTAAAGTGCTGTTTCTCTGGCATTTTCAAAGGCACATAAAATATAATACTGTGGCCTGGCTTGATACACAGAGTAATGGTCTAACAAAATCCAATTTTAAACATTTTACTGTACCAATTTTTGTGGCCCTTATATTTCATATTAGAGCCAATGCAGATAAATTAGAAACTTTGTAATACTTTTAATTAATATTTGAAAATATTATTTACAATGCTTTATACATCATTAGATCCACATAGCTGCTCATATAACTGCTCATATAAATCATTTAAATGGCTTGACTTAAACTAGGAAACGCTGTTGGCTGTTGAGTGACGGCAATTTAACCTATTACACAAACTCGTATGTTTATCATGAGGCGAAATATAGTTATTTATTAGTCAGTTACTTATTGATGCTTTTCTTTCCATCTTGAATAACACAACGCTTCCATAACGCATCTGTATCCAGTATAGCGTTGTTCCCATAGGCGTGATTTAAAGTGCTGTTTCTCTGGCATTTTCAAAGGCACATAAAATATAATACTGTGGCCTGGCTTGATACACAGAGTAATGGTCTAACAAAATCCAATTTTAAACATTTTACTGTACCAATTTTTGTGGCCCTTATATTTCATATTAGAGCCAATGCAGATAAATTAGAAAGTTATTTAAGGAAGAGACCACCCTGATTGTAAAGCAAAACGTGATTGTTATAGCGAGAACGTGCTACGATTGGTCAGTGAAATGTGGCTGTTTTCTAATTGGCTTGAGTAGGCGGTGGGTGGAGTCCATGCATATGTGGATTTGCCAGCGTCTTGACACTAAAAATGTACATAAAGCCATTCACAAATGTATGGGGAGCGATCTACAAACGCACAAGACACGATTCACAAATGAATGCCAAGCAAAGATGTGTTTGTGACATAAAAAAAGATATTTGTGTATACGGTTTTTATTTGTAACTTAATTGTATTTTTTTTTTTTTGTGAATTTAATTCATGTTTGTGAAACTAAGATTTATTTGTGGATCTCATTCTATTTATTTGTCAATATGTTTCATTTGTGTTAATCTCTTTATTTATTTGTGGATCATAATCTATTTATTTGGAATTATGCAACAATTATATCTCCATAAGTCTAGCATGAGTTATGCACTCAAGCAATAACTCCTGTTATAATCACTGAAGTGGTGTACAACTGCAAAATTAATCTCTTACTTGCATTGCATCTGCACTTTGTTTTTTTTGTGATTAGATAATTATTGCGAGTGCATATTCAGAATTCAGTCAGCGAGCACGTGCACTGAACAAAACTCCTGCGTTTTCAGCGGTGACTAAACCCCTATGATTGGCCACTGCACGAATAAGCTCAAGAGAAATGTGTGTGACTGATAATATAATGCTCAACTCTGCAAAAAATGTGAGCAGATCTAGGATTTGCCAGCGTCTTGACACTAAAAATGTACATAAAGCCATTCACAAATGTATGGGGAGCGATCTACAAACGCACAAGACACGATTCACAAATGAATGCCAAGCAAAGATGTGTTTGTGACATAAAAAAAGATATTTGTGTATACGCTTTTTATTTGTAACTTAATTGTATTTTTTTTTTTGTGAATTTAATTCATGTTTGTGAAACTAAGATTTGTTTGTGGATCTCATTCTATTTACTTGTCAATATGTTTCATTTGTGTTAATCTCTTTATTTATTTGTGGATCATAATCTATTTATTTGGAATTATGCAACAATTATATCTCCATAAGTCTAGCATGAGTTATGCACTCAAGCAATAACTCCTGTTATAATCACTGAAGTGGTGTACAACTGCAAAATTAATCTCTTACTTGCATTGCATCTGCACTTTGTTTTTTTTGTGATTAGATAATTATTGCGAGTGCATATTCAGAATTCAGTCAGCGAGCACGTGCACTGAACAAAACTCCTGCGTTTTCAGCGGTGACTAAACCCCTATGATTGGCCACTGCACGAATAAGCTCAAGAGAAATGTGTGTGACTGATAATATAATGCTCAACTCTGCAAAAAATGTGAGCAGATCTAAATGTAATGCCGCAATCAACACTTTACGTTCACTTTCACATTTCACTTTAATCTTGACAGCCATTACAATTTTTTGCACCCTTATCTTGAATTTGGAGTGTATTTTTGACCAAGTTCCCACTAATTTTTGACCCTGGGCTCTACAGAGTTACAGGAAAGCCGTCTGTGCTTTATTCATGTGTAGAGTTCTTAAAAGTTCCAAAAAACAAACAGCAATGACACTTTAATTACAAATCTGACAGCATGGGAGGCCCATGCAGGTTTCCACCTTGTCTGTAATACTGTGATAATTCCTCCTGAAAGTCCTGAAAAACATTTATTTTGATGGGGAAGGCAAAGTACAGAAACAAACAGGCCTAAAAAACAGGTGCACCAGCCCATCTGAGGGAAAATTGAAAGTGGGTCAGAACATATGAAAGTAGACAAAAGAAAAAAACAACAACACCACGCCGTCTTACCTGGATAACAGTTTCCTGCACAATTTATTAATGCTGTAAAGCAAGAGCATGGAGATGCTGGAGTGAAGTCGTTACTTACTCTGCTTAATCAATCTCTTGTCCGCCACGATGATGTTTTCTGCATCGACGACGATGACTTTTCCGTCACGAGGCCCAACTGCAAAGTTGTCGAAACTCACGTCTAGGAGGTAAAGGGCAAAGTCAAAGTCGTTGTTGGTCAGCTGCTCGGCGATGTCCATCAGCTGCTTGGCCAGATCCACTCTTTTCTCCCAGGGTGCATTGTAGAAGCTCCAGAGCTCCTCGCCCACGTAATTCACCGCCACCATCCGGCCACAGGCCCCCAGGTATTTGGCGAACGGCCAGCCCTCATCTGAGGGAAAACTCTGCAGAGATGAAACACGAGGAGAGACCCAAGGTGAGAGAAAAGTTCTCCATTCTCACACACACATGTAAAAATCACTATGTCCACTCATATTTGGAGCAAAGAAATGCCATTTAAGACATAGATAAACTGCACAATCATTATCTTGATGCAAAGTAGCTATACCAAACTTTTCTTAAGAGCTGTGGATATTCAATATCCCCATTTCAAGTTGAGTCATTAAAAATGGATAAGTGACTATTAAATTTTAATCCTAGAGATTCAAATAATTTAGAGGACAAAACACAGCATTCGGTAACCATTCGGAGCCTCCAACATCTGACCTCTGTGGTCTGGGCTGGAGAGGCTGAATCATGCTGTGGAGGGGATGTTTCCTGCTCTTCATCACATACATCGTTTCCGAGGGACCTTTGGCAAAGCAAATCGGTCATATATATATATGTATATATATATATATATATATATATTTATTTACTGGCTTACACTCTTAAATGTCGTAAATCTGATAAGTGCAGGAGGTATTTCAGTGATGTGTCCAATCTGTTAAACTCATCCTGTCCTTGAGTCTTTCAGGGGTCACAAGTGAATTAAGTGGAGACAGAAACCCAGAACAAGATCTGTATTTTCCTCTTGTTTTGACCATTTCTAATGCTAATAATGCTACTGACTGACAAAATCAATTTCCTTTGACATTGTAATCACAATCATTATCATAGATTAATGGAATTAATATTAAAAATGCTATTTTGAGTAAGGAATCTGACATTTTTTGTGTAGCTACACATCCAAAACAGACTATTTCTGAATTTATTTATTGCTATTTATTTAGTAAATTAAGACTAAATGGTGATCTTCACATTGGCCTTTAAAGCAGCGTCAAAAAGAAAACTTTTATTTATTAATTTATTTTTTTAAAGTAAATTATACACAGAAAACAACCAAAGCCACAATACACTCCGATTATAATCACAACTTTTTGAGCGCTTCAGTGTGAGTTCTGGATTCTAACACATGCAAATGCTCCTATTATTATAAACAAAGCTGTCCACACTGCAGAATAAATCTATTTAATTTACTATGCTTTGTTGATTTGAAAAGTGGTATTCTAGGTTCATCACATTTCTTGCTTATAGTGTATATTGGGTATAAATTAGAGGCCTGCATTCCTGCGGCTGCGGCCAGATTTTTTTCACCGCGGGATTAAATTCCTAAATAAATCGCGATAGCGGTCGGTAACTCTGGTGTAATTTAATAAACGACTTTAGTATTTTGACAAGACAAATAAAATAACATACGGTCGGGTCGGGAAGAAAATTATTCTAAGCGGACAGCGGGTGAACAAAGAGTGAATATATAGCGAGAGCGGATGGGTGTGGAATAGAACCTTGCGGGAGCATGCAGACCTCTAGTATAAATCATCGACACTGCAACTGAGTGGTGCAACATCTAGCGAATCCAAAATAGTTGGAAATTAACAACAATGCTTTTTGGTTTATTTCTAAAGCGTCTTTCTGGCTGTCTGGTGATGTTTCTTCAGCACTCGTCAGCACTTTGTGTTCCAGAACAAACAAAAGTGACATAAAAACGCAACAGGGATATATGTAAATGGAATGCTGTAACCAGCATAACTGTAATAGTAATCTTGATGATTATTTAGTTTACTAAAACAACGTTTTGGCTTTAGGAATTAGATTGAATACTGAATTGAATTATTAGGTGCTAAAAGTATAACTGCTCAGTCTATGACAAATGAGTCAATTACAAAAGAGAACATTGTGTCTCTAGATTTTCTTTTTTTAACCTCTGGAAACACGTCATCATTCTCTGAAAGTGTGAAATGTCTGCGGAAGACCACGTCCTGTGTGAGAATGAGGTTTTGTTCCTGAAAAAAAAAAAAAA